GGGGGGGCAAAGTTGCTGAGAGAAAAAAAAAAAGGACTTCAAGGACTTAAGCCAAAAATAAATAAAATAAATAAATAAATAAATAAAACAGCACTTCCCTTATAAGAATGAGTGCACGGATAGGAACACGGGAGTGGTTGCGCACTAAAACCCAGGGGAAGCATTGCTTCCCCTAAGTCTTTTGGCTGGCAGCCATTTTGTGCCAGCAGCCTTGGGGGAATCAGGTAAGTATGGAGGCTGGGGTTGGGGGACTAGAGGTGTTGGGGGCCGGGGAGCTGGGGGGGAGGCCAGGCGCTGAGTGCTTGTAGGGTTGCCAGGTGCCCGGCATTTTTCACCTCCTGGCAGGGGAAAAATTCAGAAAATACCGGACAACTCAGGTGTCCGGTGTTCTCTGAATTCTTTTTTACCCGACAGGAGGCAAAAATACCGGACTCTCCGGGTGAATACCAGATACCTGGCAACCCTAACCGTAAATGCCTCCATTGTGCTTGCAAAGTTTATCAATCTCTCCGTGCTACGGAGCAAATCACCAAGCAGTGGCCTCCCTTTGTACATAGATAACTTTCGATGCACAAACAAGTGCAGGCGTTTCAAGCACTATCATATGGGCATGGCATTACTAGATCATTACTTATGTGTGTTTCTCCATGCAATTGTGTCTGGACAAGTGAAGGATGGACTGAGACCCCTTTGAATATGTGATACTAACAGCACATTCTCAATAGGGAATATCGACAAGGCCCGTTTACAAAAAAATTGTGGGATCGCAAAAACTGCACAGAACAAAATGTTTTATAGTTCATCTGTATCCATTTCAGACTGTTTATCACAGTATGATTAATATAAGAGCTCAAGTTTCAACATTTATTTACATTTAGTATATGACAAGTAGTCTTGGAGCATCTTAACACAGCTACCCCCCTCAGACTTTTTACATTTACTAAGTACAGTAGACTTCCGATAATCCGGCACCCTTGGGACCCAGGTGGTGCCGGATTATCAGAAATGCCGGACTATCAGGAGGTACTCTGGCAGGGGCGGGTCTCGTCGGAGGGGAAGCGGGGGAGGGGGCGGGGGTGTGCCAAACCCTCCCTCCTGCTGCAGGGAGGCAAAGCCTGCAAGCGGCAGAACAAGAGAGGGAGGGAGAGGCAGGCAGCTGTTTCAAGAAGTTCTAATCAGTTACACTGCCCCAGCAACAGGCTCGCAATCTACCTTTCCTCTCTACTGCCTGGCGGGGAGAGGGGGGGCGGTGGAAACGGGTAGATCTGCAGGTGACAGGCTGCTACTGAAACTCACAAGAGATCATCTCCCCTCCCTGTCCCTGCTGCTTTTACCAGTAGACTGGATAGTCCAGGATCAAAAGATGGAGTGAGCTTCAGTTACACTGCCCCAGCAACAGGCTCGCAATCTACCTTTCCTCTCTACTGCCTGGCGGGGAGAGGGGGGGCGGTGGAAACGGGTAGATCTGCAGGTGACAGGCTGCTACTGAAACTCACAAGAGATCATCTCCCCTCCCTGTCCCTGCTGCTTTTACCAGTAGACTGGATAGTCCAGGATCAAAAGATGGAGTGAGCTTGCGCCCCCCACACCACCCGCCGACCCCCTATCCTCCCCCCTCCAGGCAGTAGAGCGGAAAGGTAGATTGCGAGCCTGTTGCTGGGGCAGTGTAACTGATTAGAACTTCTTGAAACAGCTGCCTGCGTCTCCCTATTGGTAAAAGCAGCAGGGACAGGGAGGGGAGATGATCTCTTGTGAGTTTCAGTCCCTCCCTGTCACCTGCAGATCTACCCGTTTCCACCGCCCCCCCTCTCCCCGCCAGGCAGTAGAGAGGAAAGGTAGATTGAGAGCCTGTCGGCTGTGGATCCACCCAGAGTAAGTGTAACTGATTAGAACTTCCTGAATGCGGCTGCCTGCCTCTTGCCCCCTCTCCACCACCCTGCAACATGACGGAGAGTTTGGCGCCCGCGCCCTTGCCTCTGCCGCCAACCTCAGTCCTCTTCTCCTCCCTCTCTCCTTCCCCTCCCGCCCCCCAGAGGCAATAGATAGAGCAAAGATAAATTGCAAGTCTGTCTCCTGCAGATCCAGCCGCAGTTAATCAATTACACTAACAACTTGAAGCAGCTGCCAGAGCACTTCCAGGTTGCAGTTGGTGCCGGACCATGAGGTATACCGGACCACTGGATGCCGGACCACCGGAGTTTTACTGTAGATCATGGATAATCCATTTTGAGTATTACCAGATAGTTTCATGGGTGTTTTTAAACTGTTGCAGTTTTACCTTCCACTGTTTCCAATGACACTAATTAGCTTTAAAAATAAACAGTACTCAAACACTAATAGCATTCTCAACCCCACTTTGGTACAATGTTATTTTTCGTAATGATTGCTTCTCCCTGTGCCTCTAGATCACAGACCCTTTAATCGTCTAGGCACAGATCTGGCAGTTTACAGTACCCTGTAATATTCTTAACAAGTTTTGTCCTTTTCCTCTTAAACTATAAATTAAGATAAGGCGAAATCTACTTACACACAATACTTGAGGTGCTTTTTAATGAAATAATAAAAAGCTCCTTACAACAAGGAATCAGACAGCAATGCTTATTGAAATCAATGAGCTATATTGAACGAATAATCAGAAGAATCTAAATTTACAGAAAGGGTATCTTTATTATCCCATGCACCAGTGTCAAGCAGAGTTTTTTTTTAAATCTTATGATTAAAATCAAACATCTGGCCATTACCAGCAGTGATTTAACCTTCAAAATACATTGCCACTCAATAAGGACAATGAACTTTAAGAGATGGAGAAGCTGCTTCCTGTGGGAATGCTTGATGGAACATGGAGACATGTTTAAAAATAGTGTTATCTACAAATCTCATCTGAATGGCTTGTACTCTGACCCAGAGGAATAGCATTTTAATGTATTTTAGAAGAATACAACAATTTATAATTCAGAAATAAGAGACTAGAAGAGATCTCAATAAAACTTCCAGTAAAATTCCTTGCTTGCAAAACAGAACTAAGTAATAACTAGATCAGTGGTTCTCAACCAGGAGCCTAGGGCCTTTGGGAAGATTTGGGGGGGGGGGGAAGCGAAGGGTCAGTCAAGTAGGGCCAGCATTAGATTTATTTGGACCCAGGGCACACTAACAAAGCCCCACCAAAATTGCCTTAAACTGGGTCTCACTGGGAGTTTAGATTGAGCTTAGCCTCCTTAGGATGATTATCTAAACAATGAGTCCATACCACCTAACCCCATTCCATCAACTTTATGGGCCCTTAAAGTTGATTTCGGCACTCCTGCTTTTCACAAAGAACAACAATTAAGGATTTTAAATATCAACTAATTCAATTAGTCGATAGGGCGCCTCTGGCTTTGAAGCATAGCAACAGCCCTAAGGCTATTACTGCGCTTCAAAGGCAAAAGTATTGCATGGAGCCCAGGGTCAGCTGGGAACTCCCTCACTGATCCCCGGGCTCCCCGTGGCTCTGCCGCTTTGAAACGCCATGAGGAGCCTGACATGGGCTCCCCCCGGCGTTTCAAAGTGGCAGTGCCTTATTCCGTACTCCACGGTAGGACACCCTTCCATGCCATCATTGCACCACAAAGCATGGCAGCATAAGGCTAAGGTTTCGAGACACATTCAGTCAGCACCTCTTCCTTATAACTGTGTGATATTTGGAGAAGAATGATATC